TATCACATTATTCCCCGGACTCCGCAACCGGCGGCTTCCCGAGCCAGGCCTGGCGCTGCTGCAGTGGCACGCTCAGTGCAGCTCTGGGCTCCGCGGCATCCAGGGCAGCGGCAGGTGCTGAGCTCGGCAGCAGGCACCCGTCAGCGTGTGTTTTGTAAAAGGTGAGAAGGGACCAGCGCGAGGGGCCTTCTGGCGTCATTTGTAGGTATTTCAGAGCTGTTCATCAAAAGGCAGGTGTTCTGTCCAACACACCAAACCTAGACAAGGTGGCCCAGTCCTGGGAGAAACGAGAACTAGGTCTGTGTTTTGGGCCAAGCCCCCAGAGCCATGTCACCTTCCCGTGCCCTCCTCAGCGCCCCCGCCTCCGTGCTGGAGGGACGAGGAGCAGCTGCCGGGCTCCATCAGGGACATGAGGAGGCCCTGCACTGTTCCAGCAGCCTTCCCTTCCCAAACAACTGCTCCCGTCCCCGGCAGGGGAAGAGCCGTGGATCTGGTGGAAGCGTCCTGCGGTCCAGGTCTGGCCCACGGGTCATGATGCTGAGGCAGGATACGGCAAATGATATCAAATATTTTCCAGGGCCAAGGTCTGTGTCAGGATGAAGTCAAAATGATATAACATTTAACAATGTTTTACTTTCTTTACAAGTCTTCGGTGTAGTACTCTAAAATCAAGTTCTGCGGTATCGTTTTCCACAGAAATGGTTCCTGTAGTCCTTGGCAAGTGTCAGGAATATCGTTACGCTTCTAGCGCAAACCAAGACAGGATGAATGAAAAGCAGATAAACTACTTTTAGTATATATTATCTCACTTTGTTTAGGGAAAGCTGTAGGCCAACTGAAGTGAATTTAGATTAAAACAATAGAAATATTGGAGACTTGAAGAGATGTATGAGAAGAAATTTAAAAATATGTCTAGGCAGCGACTGAATGTAGAGAATAGAAGCACATTCGATTTGTAAAGCCAGGGAAATGAAAGAAATTATTTTTAAAAGTAACATATACTTGCTAAAGAAAAATTGGGCCAGGTTGCTCTTACAAAGGAAATTGTGTCGCCCTGATAAATCAGTACTACAGCTGATGCTAAACTAAGCAGAGCTGTGTGTGAACATGCTGCAAAGAGTCCTCTGCTGATGAGGCACAGGTGACCTAGAAGCCATTCCCTCAGTTCTCGGTCCCACGAGTGAATGAGAACCGCCTTTAGGGGAGTACAAGGATATTTTGTATTGTAAATGAGAGCACTTAGGCTATGATTCGTGTCATTGAGCTTTACAATATATAAAAGCTGGTGGTATGAGAAATGGACTACAAGTTTGCAAATCCAAAAGGAGACTTATAATTTCATACGTGATTCTATTTCTTGTAATGGCCTGACTAAATCCTACTTAGTTTTGACCATGGGAAAAAATGTAACATTCCTGTGATTTCAGTTAACATGCACTCCAGTCCTGCAAGTTACCCTTTCAATGCACAAGGGTCTGCTTTCCATCTTTATTACCCATATCGTTGGGTATGATCTGATTGGAAGGAACCTATTGGATCATCAAGTGACAGCCCACGTGCCACCCAGGGTCACATAATCATGTTCATACATGTCTCAATCACCACCTTACTAGACAGTTTGCCCTTGCTACTCCGATATTGAGCACTATCCCAGACTGTCAGCACTTTGATGACTGGGGAACAGTTGCAGGAAATTTTTATATATACAGTTTTGCCTTACCATCATGGAACACCTATCTTGGTTTTCTTTTCTATAACATGTAATCTTCGTTTTGTTATGTAACCTGCATCTCAGTTTTAGTGCATTGGTTTCAAAATTTACTGTTTTCCTGAGAAATATAAGCCTGGCAAACCCGGGCAGTTTTGCTACTCCTGGCTGAGGGAATAGTGCCATGTTTCTCTTCCACCTTGTACCCCAATCAGCCTTGTCAGTAGTGGGAGCAAAAGCCCCAGTCGAAGTTTAGGTCTCTTCCTGAGTGCCACAGTTCTTTTCATCCAGGATACCTTGACAGTTGTCACAGAGAAGCTAGTAATGTTCTCCAGAATGTTTTTCATTCATCTGTAAGTCTGGTACTACATTTCACTATTATTGTAATTACAAAATGTGATGATGTCAAATATCCTCAACCATCAGCCTAAGATTGCAGAAAACTCAGAGGTGGAGAGAGCTGAGAGTAAAATGCCTGAAGGCTTTTTGGAGGAAAGATAGGTTACTGGGAAGGAGAGATAGGCAGCTTTTGAAAGAACCAAATTTTAGTGTATCTGTGGCTCCAGGAAGCCCTAGTGAAAGTTATGTTGATGTCAGTTGCCCATGCGTATAACCTGATTTGTGAAGCAACTTTTTTTCCAACTAACTCTCAACTTATGTATGTGAACAAATGACATTATTAATAATGCAGTTAAGTTTCATAACCTGTATTCTTTTTTTTTTTCTTTTTGCTGCTTTACTGTATAGCCCAATTGAAATGAAACTTTGGGAGAGATTTACCCAAGTCACAAAGCACAGTACCTTGCAAGTAGTCTCCTTGAGCTCCCTGAACAGTGTGGGGGTTGTCCTCCTAGAGATTTGTTGTACCTGAAATATAAACTTTATAAAATCCAAGGAAGCAAATGTAGGAATGCTATTTTTTTTCCCTAAAAACACTTCAGTTTGAAGGGCATCAAGTACTTTTTTCTTTTAAATTTTCAGTGTATGTGCCAGTACAATTGTCTGGTCTGTAAAAGAGAATCATTCACTTGGGGTTACCCATAGCACAGTAGTACTTCATCCGCAAGAGCACTGATGGAGCTGTAGGAAGGACAGGTATTCAGTTGCTGGATTTAGATTTCCCAGTTAGACAGATCTCCAGTGTACCGATGGGAAGCGCTGAGAACAGTGTCTCATCTTTGTTACCTGTCTTTAGAGAGGCACCAAGGACTGCAGGTACAAAGAAAGTGCCTTCTAACCATGCAAGGTAGCCACCCTGGGATGACATACTGGATCTTGAGCTGGCTACTACGTAGAATCAGAATAGACTTTAATTGTTGCAACAAACAGTAAATTTTAGGGTTAATTCTGACTGTAGCTTCCAGGCTTCAGAAAAAATGTAAGTATTGAATAGTATCTGTCTTGCAGATTCATCAGCACAGAACTGATTTCCAGAAATACTCTCTACAGAAATATTCTCTCCTCTTCTATCATCTTAAAATGAAGGAGTCTAACTATAGCAGGTTGCACAGCATGAGGCACCTTGTGCATGAAAAATTAGACAATTATGAATGTTTGGATTACTTTATATGATTGACTGATCATCCTTAAGTACTTTATAATGCAACCATTCAGCAAATTAGGCTGCTGTAATATATCCCTATCAACAAGTAATTTCCTATATGTTTGTTTGTGGTGTTCTCTAGCAGCTGCATTAAGTTTGTTAATGAAATACGGTGAGTAGATCGTGATTCCCCTCACTCTTTATTTCATAGGTTGGTGAGACCAGATGCAAAAAAGTTTGCACTTCGAAATCTGATCTGAGATCCAATGATTTCAGCATCGTTGGAAGCTTGCCAAGGGATTTTGAATTATCGAATTATGACTGTTATGGGAAGCCCATTGAAGTCAACAATGGGCTCGGGAAATCTCAAGCCAAGAACAACAAGAAGCCTCCTCCTCCCAAGCCTGTCATTCCATCAGCAGCAAAGAGAATCGATCTTTATGCAAGAGCACTGTTCCCTTTCTGCTTCTTGTTCTTCAATGTCATATACTGGTCCATATATTTATGATAAATCTTCTATTTATTTTTTCATATGTGTAAAATATATGCCATTTCATTACCCCTTCCCAGTCATGAAGGCCACTGTGTGAAATTATTTGCATTTGCAAAGCAATATGTTGCATTTTGATGCCATGCGATTGTACTGAACATATGGCATCTGAAATCTGAATGAAAGCATGACACTGCAATGTCTGTGCTCCAACCAATGTTGTATATAAATGTACAGCATACATCCTGCTTTAGGAATATATATGAAGGACAATGCATACTACATTATAAAGCCGAATAACGCTCTTCAGTTATTAGTAACATACAGAGATTTAAAGTGTTTCTGACAATGAAACTGATGTGCACGTTCAGTATTATTAAAATCAGTATTCTAGTATATGTAGTATTTAACAGCTTTTCTGCTGACTTCCAGAGTAAAAAAAAAAAAAAAAACAACAACCCAAACATCAGGTTCTTGTATAATTTTAGATGGCACTGTTGAAGAAAAAAGCTAAGTTGTAATTCATGTTATTTAGGCTTTGTAAGTGAAGGCAGCGCTGAATAAGCTGATCTTGTCTATGTGGGAAAATAAAGATCAGAGAATTACTAATTTTGTAAAATCAGCTCATTTAGAAAAAAAAAAAAGACAACAGTTGTATCCATCAAGCAGGCACACTTAAGTGTGTGAGAATATGCTGACAATAAAACATTGGGCCAAATTTTGACTGCTGTTTCCTTAGGCACAAATGAGATACAATATGTCAAAACCAGGCCACTTCCTAGACTAAAGGTATCAGGAGTTTTGGAGAAACATCACAAGATGCAGTTCAGTATTGGGTTATATTACACTTTTTTTACATTGTCATCTGGCTCATTTTCTGAAGCGTCTGGCAAGCCTGCAGTATATAAGTCACAATTTTTTGTTGTTGTCGCATCAGATATATCTTACTTGACTTGTTTATGCCCTTGAAAGCTTTCAGTTTAAACAAACCAGTTATTGTCAAGATGAAATCCTGTTTTTACCACTAGTTACACTTTTTTGGTTTGCCTATTTTAGCACAGATGACCAAAGCTAACACCTAGCCACCAGTAGAAGTGAAGAAGTATCTAAAGGTCTAAGGGACTGAGACTTTTAAATATATCATGAGCCCGTGTGCCTATGTGTTAATTAATGGCTGCCCTCACCAACTCATTGATTTGGCTGCTACTTTTTGGAGAACAAGGTCCCATGCATGAATCTGCTCTGATAGGAGGCTGCTCTCAATTTCCCAGAGGAAACCCTATGACATGGAGACTACGCAAACGTGATCTCCCCAAGGTGCGTAGGGCAGGACCTATGGTCTCCCATGGGTGCTAGAGTACATCCCTTTGTAAGGGCAAGTCATGAGATGAAATGGAGCCACGTGAAAGCTGCTTGTGTGTAGGCATCTGGGTAGCGTGTGTTCCCCGGGAATGCACAGTGGCTGTGCCTCAGCCCTTGGGAGCGTGCCGTAGAGAAACAGGTCTCCACTTGTAAAGCTGGCGCACCACAGTTAGTTAAAATATGGAGATAAGGCAGTTCTCACTAACTTGGCAATTCTTAAAAGGAAATAGGGATTATTGGCTCCTCAGGCGAGGAAGTGACTGAATTAAATACCTGAAACCTTCCATAGCATGGAAACAGACACAATCCCACTTGTGCTACCTTTCTAGCTCATCCAGCATGTGTTGAGCCAATGCAGACCACATAAGTGGACTGTTGGATCACTTGGGTATTGTCCACCACGTGAATGTTGTCCACATATGGCCAGTCTGCACAACCGGAAGGTCAAAAATTGGGAATATAAGAAAAGCAAAGCACGCCACGCTGGCTTCACTGGGCATCTGGCCGGTCTGCACGCACCACCCAGGGCTTTTTCTAACCACTGCCACTTTGTGATCAACACCCCCATCACTACAATTCTTGTTTGGGTTGAAGAGATCTGCTCTTCAGGAGGTGATCACGCGCTTTCCACCAGCTTCCTGGCCACTTTATCAAGATTTCAGGGAGCCACTTTAGCAGGGAGCCACAGTTTGTCCTTTGGATTTCTTTCTGATCAGAGGAAATGGAAGGGAAATCCCAAACATTACTGAACCGTGTTGAACCAGGGGGAAAAAAAAAAAATTGTATCTTTAGGGTCTAGTTCAAAGTTTCGATATTTCTATCTGTTGAAGGTATTTACAGAATTGTCAGAGACTGAGAAGCAATAAGGATAAGTCAAAGAGAGGAAGGAAGGGAGGGGTAATTTTTATACATATAATCAGAGTGCTATATTTATAAACATTATTTATTCTCATACTTGTATTTTTTCTTACAGTACTGGAAGGCAAGAAAATAATTAGCCTGTGTTGGAAATTATATGACTTTTGGAAGATAATTTTCTTGTTAGAACTCTTATTAAATGATTTATCTGTAATTAATGTCCACATTCTATCTGTATAATCTCAATTATAGATTTTATTGTTAAATTAATCTTTGTTCCTTCTTGCTTTCCTGCTTACTTGATGGCTTTTGTGTTTTATCATAAAACATTTAATCAATAATACACTGTAATTGCTTTCCAACTCACACAAAAAGGAAGCAAAAGGAATGTGTATTGTTAAGGTAAAGGCTTTTCATTCCTTGTAGCACAAAAACTAAGGACAGAAGCAAAGTTTAACAGCAAATTTGAAACAGAATTTAAAATAAAACAGTATCAGCTATAAAGTATTAATTTTCTTTTTACCTAAGTTAGATAATATTGCAGTTTTTGTATTACCTCGGAATATATTAACTTGTCCTACTGAGCAGTAATCATTGATTTATTTTATTTTTCTTCTTCCTGCTAAAGGTCATTGAGAGTTTTGCATAACATATCACATTATGGTCCTCCAGCACCCTCTAGTTGTAAAATTCTGCCTGTTGACTTGTTTCCAGAATGAGGTGCAAATATAAAACTATGGGCAGTATAGGATGTTACTTGTTAGTACTAATGTGAAGGGAAAAAAATATTAATAAATTAAAAATAAATGAACATAAAATCAATGGATCACTATAGAGACTTGCCATGCAATATGAATTTTAAATTGTAGAAATCAATACATTCAAGTACTAGCAAAGGTGAGGCTCCTGAAGTACACATCAGTAACCAGATTAACTAGTCATGATGTCTGAACAAACTGCGTGACAGCAAAATCTGTTTCTGAGGGAGAGACCATCTGTGTTTCAGCTGCCATTTACTTTAAGTTCTCCTGTTTACTGGTGGGAGAGTTACAATTTTTTGTTCCGCCCTTAACATAAAGCTCAGTGTTTTCTTGGCTCTTAAGCATCAAGGAACAGTACCCAAATAGTTCATTCCTTTCTTTCATGGTGTTATGGACCTTTGGATATCTTCCCACTTCAGGATTTTAGAACACATTCAAACACTGCATCAGGAATTTCCATGGAGATGAATTAATTCGTTTCTTAACCGCATCCACAAATTTAAGCTATACAATAAGTAAGGATGTGACTTGAAAAGTATATCAGCAGCTATGCGTTAATTCCCTGTTAGGATGTGTGAAATGTACTGTGTGGAGTAATCCACACCTTACTTTCATACCGACTTGACTCATGTTTGACACCCAGTTTTAGGAGCAGCTCCGCAGTGTTTCTTGGCACATCCTCTTTTATTTTCAGTCTCACGTTAAACCTAGCTGAGCTGGTGTATGTGAGCAGTCTTGTCTGTTGGGTGAGGAAGGGAGTTTATTTCTGTAAGCGCAGCATGCAGAAGATTGACCACTTGGAAACATTGCCAAGCAACTTTCATTATTCAAAGTCTTCAAATTAATTTGGACTTGGTAGTAGAAAATGTGTGGGCAAAGGGAGAGCATCTTCAGTGCCCTGTTCCTCCTTAAAGAGAAAGAAGTAACGCTGCCTTTTGGGGTAGTTTCGGTGAGTGTGACCCACAGAGATTGATCTGGCTGTATAATAATTTTGAAGGAAATGCACTTACAAATAATCTTTATTTGAAAATATTTCACTCTGAAGAGAGACAATAACTTACGTAAGCAGTCTGTCATAGCTGTTAAGGTAATCTATTAATAGACGTTATAATACAGCTGAGACCATTGGTCTCTTCTTCAATTAAAGCAGCTTACCGTTATGGTTATTGGATGACTTGTGCTGAGGATATTTATAGAAAAGATAACAATAAATTATTTATTTCCAAGGCAGTGCAACCTGAATATATGCAATGTCAAGTGATTTTTGAGGTTATAGAGATAGCGTAGTGCTGAAATGAGTACAAATGTGGTGTGTAGCAGATAAGGGAATGATAGGACACTGTTACTTGATGCTTTGGTGTACTAATTCTGGGATTAGAGAAGATAAGGTGAAAAGAAAAGGAAATTCAGCTATGGAGACATTGAATAATAGGTTTGTGTCTACAATTCAATTTAATTGCGTCCACAATTTAATTGCTCCGTAAGTAATAATATGCTATAACAGTTATCTTCTTTTTATATACATATAAAGAATTACTAAAAAAAAAAAAAAAGAAAAGAAAACTTAAGCTCATCTGTGGTGCCAGAAACATACAGAAACTAGTTCATTCATAGGAAGCTCTACACTTGAATAAACAATGGAACATATAGAAAACAAAATGCAGTTTTAAAGACATAAAATTCTCATTGTTGTGGCTTTGCCTATGCCATTGTATCAAGTAAATCACAAACAATCTGGGCTGCTTGCAGCACTCCCTTGCATTTTGACTTCCTCAGGAAAGTCACCCGCCCATCTACCTCCCAGCACCTGTCCTCATTCCATCAGTGGTAATAGTGTCAGCAAACATTTCAAAAAAAAAAATTTCAAGGCTATTTTGAAATCTTTCTGGAAACCCTTTATTGCTATGAATATGTCTACACTGCAGTCACTAAAATGTCTGCAGCTAATGCAGGCTTATCCAAATTAGCTTTAAACTAGCTGACTTGGGGACGGCTGGCGACGTAGCCATGGTAACGGTGAGCTCCGGCTGGGAAGCCTACCTGCTGGCGTAGGAAATGAAAAAATATGCTTTGGTGTTAACCCCCACAAAGCTTTATGCTGCCTCGGCTATTGCGCTCAAACTGTTGGTTTAAAGTTAGCTCGTGTGGGTGTTTATCAGCCCGTGCCTGCAAAATGTCGATGTACGCTGTATGACGCACTGTGGGCTAGAACTGAATCATTTTTTCCCACTGGTGATGTGAAAGATCCCAGTATAAAATGTACTCTTTATGGGTCTTGATGACATATGGGATTTCTGCCATATTTAATTTTGTGTCCTGACAAAAGTGCTCACCGCTAGTGCCAAAAATGAAACTCGTTTTCCCAAACCAACGCACATGCAAAAGAATGAGATGCATTCGCCCACCTGAGCATGAATGAGGTTGCCTACTGAGTCGAGGTCATAAGACTATTCCTTTTACACATTAAAAGAGCCATTCTGTTTAAAGTCCCTAACTCTAACAGTGGATACTGGATCATAATGTTTTAAATGAATAATGAGACTAAAGAGACTAAAGACACTAATGACACTTAGACTATAAAAGTCTTTTTTTGGCGTGCTGGTTGTTCGTGGAGGTCAGCCCTGGTTT